TTCAAAAAAAAAAAAAAAAAAAAGGAATTGATTCGTTTGATCTCCGAATGATTAATCGTCGATTCGATAAAATATCCTCTGTGCAAATTTTTAATTTTCCGACCAACAATTCTTAAGCTTGTTATCAATAAACTTAATTTCACGCCTGTTTCGAATCTATATATACCTGGAGTGTAAAACATCGATCATTGCGCACGTGATCACATTGCTCGTTTCTTACTTAAATGTCTTACGAATGTTTCTTACAAATATACCTGTGCTTCCAAGAGAACTGTGTTCGAAGCTTCTGTAGTTCGGGCAGGGAGAGCTGCCGGTCATGGAGAAGTACACGACATAGTCGCGGTATTTCTTCTCGTAGATGTAAATTTTGCTCGGCTCGTAGTCCAATAATTCCCACGACGAGAAGGACATGATCGAATCGTCACTTCCAACTGAACTTTTCCTCATATTTTTCTTCAATCTTTTATACACATGTATAATTTCTTGTTTCTTAGTATATTTCTAATAATCAATAATTCAACAAACTTCATGGTTAAGATGTGTGTAATCTTGTTAAACTTCCTTATTTAATCTCATATTTTTTTTTACATATTTTATCGAATTTTATCTGTACACCATATCAATTTATTTAAGTTAACATTATAAGATAAATATAATGGTGAATCGATAAAAAATTGAATATCGGATGGATATTTGAATATAATTATTTGAAGGAATTGATGAACTCGATATTGATTATATAAAAATATCATATTGTCTTTGAGCGTAGAACTGATTGATAATATCAATTGATTGATAAATAATAAATGATAAATTGACAAGAAGTTGATATTAAGTTGGTATTAAGATAAAATTTCAAAAATTGAATACAACGGCTTCTTTATTCTGAAATTTGAAATTATATCTATTGCTATCTAAATATATATAATAAGATTAGAAGATGATAAAATGATAAGAAATTAATGTTAGATGATCAAGAATATACTATTTCACATAATTTAAAATTAAAATTTAAAGTAATCTTTTACTTGTCCTTTGTACATTAATTAATTAAACACTAGAATATATGATAAATTGATAAGATATTGATATTAAGTGGTTAAAAGTTCAAGAAATGAACACAATTGCTACTCTGAACTCTTTTAAAATTTTAACATCGAATTCGTCACATCCGTTTCTCTGAACGTGTACATTAATCGATTAGATCAACACAAGAATACGAATTGACAAGAAGATAATATTATACTCAAATGTTCGAAGAAGAAATTGGTGAATTTGAATCGACGATTTAGAAAATGAAGGTTCCGCTGGTAACCGGAACGCGAAACGGAACGCCACTGACTTTCTAGCACGAATGGTGCTCGTGTTTCGTGTGGGTCAGCCTTGAGACCTCCGGTCGACATTGACTCGCTCTTAGGATGCTTCTCGAGTCTTTACGAATCGAATAAATAACTAGGAAGTTAAGGAAAAAGAGTTCGATCAAAAAATAAAAACAAATTAATCCTGAAATTATATTTACGATTTCATACTTTTCATTTTGAGTTAGAATTATTGATTCGAATTTTTCGATTCGAAAATATAAATCTTAAAATTTGAATAAATATTAAATATTGATATGTGTTCATTTATGGACTAATATTTCTGATGAAAAAAAAAACTCTGAAAAAAATAGGAAGATAAAAGTTTTATCTATAATAATATTGGTTCAATATTATTTTCATTCTTTTTAAAGAATAAATTTAATAATAGATAAGATTGATAAATATCAGAAAAAATGTTAGAAAATGTCAAGATGAAAATTAATTAAAAAAGAAAATTACTTGGTTAAAAATAATTGAACAATTTTGACATTTCTATTTTTATATTTTAATGTTTCTATAAAAGTCTTTGTTACACAATAATAATCCACAAGTGTATTATCTGTTTCTATATATATTAATGAATATTTATCGCGATTAATAACTTTTAATCTCTTATTAAACGTAAGCGTTAAGAGTACATTCTTCGAATAATATGTATCAAGAGCTGAGTCGACTTTCTCGTATTTCGCTACTTTGGTTACTAACTACGTCGTAGAAAAATTTAGAACCAGAAGAAAAAAGAATAGTTAATCACAATTTATCGAAATATTTTTTCATTTTCGGATAAAATTCCTTATCTAATTTAATGGTAAAGATAATATGAAATTATATATAATAATTTCCTAACCTAATTTAGTTGGAGAAAAAAGAAAAATATACTGAAAATAACACATTTTAAATAATAAATAATATAATTATTTATATTATGAAAAGTAATTTTGAATGAATTGAGAAATTAACAAAGATTTTTTTTGAATGAATGCAATTGTTCCTAAATTTGGAAGATATAATTTTACCTGGGAAAAGAAGGTTATTTCCTTCAAATCATTCAAAGAGATAAAGAAGAGGGGGAAGTGAAAGGGATTAGCCAATGACGAATTTTTGTTTTTCAATATAGCCAATAGAATTCAAGAACTGCTTTCAAGTTTAAGAATACAGAAATTATTATTTGACAAGGTCTAACATATTAACTTTATTCGAGATGAACGTGGGTGATCATTTAGGTGGGTCAGATCAAATTTGATTCTACAGATTACTCTAGTATATGTTTCTTAAATTGCAAATGTATTACTTATATCCAAGTCAAAAATAATAAGAAAGAAAAATAAACATCACAGTTCATGATCGAATCAAGATTGATATGTCCTTACGAATCAGAATCAATTCAAATAATCAAGTTTCTTTTCTCAGAGGCTTAGAATATTACTCCTAAGATATAGCATGAAATTTAAAAGATTCTAACCTATACATGATATTCTTAATTTTGCATTAATCGAAGTAATCCTAAATACACTGAAAAATTGTCAATCGTAAATTCTAACCTATTCTCGATACACTTAATTTTATCACCTTCTTTTAACTATGAATACGTATAT